TAAGTGATAACAGAAGATGATCCTCGTAGGATCAAGCTGAATCTAGCTCAAATCCTGAATCAATCGATCAAGAAGACCTGTAACACAAGACAGGCCAATCCCCAAGCTAAAATCATAATATATAGAAAATACAACTCCATAACACATTCTCACTCGAAATCTCTCTATAAGCTTAGCCTAAGTCTACCTTTAAGCCAGTGCCTAAGTAAAGGTAGACCAACGGCAGAATCTCCCCTATTCAGGGTGGATTGCCAGAATGGTCACCTATCAAAATACAATCTAACTTCTTTATACTAAGAAAATTTCGGCAGCGCTTCACGTAGGAAAAGTGCCCTTCCAGAATTTATATCAGCCTGAATACGAAAGCAGAAATACTCCTCCAGTTTTCAAAGCCCAATTTTGTCAAACTTCCTGAATTATCAAAAATTTGGGCAGCACTCCCTTTAGAATAGAAGACTTTCCAGATTTTTACTAAGCCGTATATAAACTTTAGACAAGTTGAACTTTGAAAAACCAAAATTTTGATCAACTCCTTGGATTTGCAGAAATTTCGGCAGTGCTTCCCGTAGAGAAAGTAGCTTACCAAAATTTATACAGAGCCAAGTATCACAAAAAGATCCCAGAAAATGCGAGAATTAATCTAAGCAAAATAAACTTAGCTTAGAAAATGCAAGAATTGAAACTGACTTCTACGGCTGTAGCATGTGGCGAGCGACTAAAGCAACTACCTATCAAACTGAAACTCAGACCAAGTAGTAGTAGCCTCACTCAGTCACATGCAGGCCAAACCACCAAGGTTAGTACTCTCGCCATCCCAAAGTCGATTTAGCAGACAATAGGTCATGATCTTTCAATGATTTAGCCCTTTATACCACGCTTACATACGGCGTAAAGTCAAACCATCCAATCTTTTGGAACATGCTTGACTCAGCCATTAAGTATACACGAACAGGTTGCACAACTACTTCTCTCTTCCTTTGGGCACATGACTAAGCCATTTATCTTAAAAACAATGTTGAGTCGCCCTGAACAGTTTAATACCCAAATTATATATACTTCTCTGAAATAAGTGTTCAAAAGCTGAGCGTAGGACTGAGTCATTCATCTTAGAAACAAAGCTCAGTCTGCCCTAAGTTACCTTCAGTTATATTCTTAATTATACTTTCTTCAAATTTATGATAAGTTATAGTCAGACCAGCCAATCTTATGGGACCCTGTCTGACCAGCCTCTTCTTAAACAGAATACTAATAAGATTTAGGAGAGAAGGTTAACAACAGTCGTATTTTTTATGACCACTTCAGGACACCCTTCTCCACTTCAGGATGCAACCTGACTAAAAAGGTGGTTTTCACGGTCTTTGGACCTTTCACCACTTCTGGACTATTCAGGTCTGAAAATCCTGAATGGTCCTGAAGTGGTCAAAACTCCGAACACCCTAAAAACCACCTGTTTAGGCAGGCTGCGTCCTCAAGTGGTGAAGGGTGGTTTTCATGGTCTTCGAACCTTTCACCACTTCAGGACCATTCAAGATTTTCAGACTGCCCAAAACTCTCACTTGACCACTTCAGGACACCCTTCACCACTTCAGGATGCAGCCTGCCTAAACAAGTGGTTTTCATGGTCTTCAGAGTTTTAAGCACTTAACGACCATTCAGGATTTTCGTACTGCCCAAAACTCTCACTTCATAATTTTCATTCCTGAATTTTCATCTACGCAATAACCGCTTGTGAGATTTAGCCAAATTATAACCCTTTGGATTCCAACATGTGCGAGGCATTGGGCCAGACCATCCAATCTTACGAAACATGCCTGGTCCTCCGCCAGGTTCATTTCTCTCTGATCCATCTGTGTGCGGCATGAGTCCAAAACCATCCAATGTTATGGAACATGCTTTGTCCTCAGCGAAAATCACTCCCTCAAAATAAAACAAACAAAAGAGTTGAGTCATTCATCTTCGAAACAAAGCTCAACCGCTTTTTCTCAGCACCGAAAAAAGTCAGAGCACTCTAAGTTAAACCCAGAGGCTCTTCGGAAACCACCTAGAAATAAACGGCGACCAAACCATTCACCTTATAAACAAAGTCTAGTCCTCAAATTTGCCTAACCAAACCCCACAAAAAAAACAGTCAGGTTATACATCTTAGAAACAAAGTCTGGCGAAATCAAGTAAAGATAACGGCCAAGCCATTCATCTTAGAAACAAGGTTTAGCCTTTTCAGAAAACAGAATAAACACAGCAGTCAGGCCATCGAAACTTATGGAACTATGCCTGACCCTATAAGACCCTTCCCATCTCAAGCAAGGTCGCCTTCCTCCCAACCTTCCCCTTGATGCAATCCCTTGTGACAATCTGGTTTCAGGCAGACAAGAAACTGAAACTGCCATTGTACATACATTTCTTTACTTAGTCTGACTTGTGTCCTGAAGGTCAAACTAAAGTCAAAGTAGGGATGCATCCAATACACTCAGTCAATACATAGGGCGCTGTACAGGTAGGGGTTATACTAGGTTTATAAGGGAAAGCAATGATCACCCCTTTGTTCTTTGCCTCTAGAACTCCTCCTAAGTTTCGGCAGAGCTGCAGTCATAAGCCTCCTTAATGGTATACCGACATACCCGTCTGTTTTTCTTCTATTCTGACTAATTACACACATTCTACCCCTCATAGAGACCCTGACCTGTTTAACCCCTTCGTCCTCGTCCTTCCTTAGCAACTGTTGTACTKCGTCCTTMMCARCTGCATGCGGTATCCAGGAAAACATATCCTTGATATCGTAACATCTCCYCGTCGTACGTTCACACCCTTCCGAGTTGAARCGCACTGTCGTCGCCTCCAGCTGTCCTCCCAACTCAGAAATAGAATTCAAATAGAATGTACTATTCGYTGTAAGACGCTTCAGCAGACAGTGTAATGCTCTTSCTACCTTTCGTTGAGCTAGTGCAGCAGGGTCTGCTGGTGCTGGCGCAATAGGYCTCCACCGTGTGAGGTCCTTGTGTTTTGGTATGACATACGCCGCTCCCAGTCTGCCATCAACCCTCCATTTGCCGATCRTATCCATRTGACTCTTATGGAAATCCTCCCTGATTTCCTTGATGGTGTATTCTTCCGTCTCCAAGTTYCCGATAAGCTCGTAGTTGGCGTCCCAGGCAAACGTCTTACCAAAACAGTGYCKGTATAAGATCGGGCACATGACTGCAGTATCCCCTTRATTTCTATCTATAGGTGCTAACACAAGCCCATTAAAACATTTGCCCCACTCCCGYACTCGCGAATCAGTYYAGGCARCCGATTCCACACTCCTCTCAGACCARACTTCTTCTATTCTCACCCTCGGTCTTACCACCCCCYTCAAATGTTTGCATGCCTCATAGATGGCCTGTGCTATCGTCTCCAAGTTACCAGCTTTCTCCGGTCTAGTAATATTCTTAGCATTTTTAAYGAAATCTGGAATATCTAGATMCGTGAATCTCGTGAGTAWATGGCCTTCGTGCTTAGGAAACCTCAAGTCTCTKCATATGCATRCACATTCCTCTACGGATGCGAACCGCTTGTGGTTATGTAACAGCTCCCCTACRTTTCGGTTTCGCAGYCACACAATGYGCACCCTTGTCKTCACGAAGTYCGCCACCGCCTTCTCGGAAATGGCCTCGRCAATYGTCMTTTCCGTGATTGTCCTTATYCCCTTCTTYTGCACTCTAGTGTCAAACAGCACCTTCACACATATCTTCTTCCGYACACTAATCCCCGCTTTACTGATTATCAGYCTATCGATCTCYGTTCGCAGTCYGTGCTTTGTCTGTTTTTCTGTGAACAGACCTGTCGTCCTGTACAGCCCAATCAGCTTCTTGAGTGATAACGTTCGCAGTTGTGAGTCCGGTCTAGGTCYKCGCAATATAGACACTAATARCGCTTTATTSCGTTCCGTCGTGGTCTTCGATCTAATAATCCTAATGATCTTGACCTCCCCACCCCCTTGCAGTATCTGTTTCGCCTTGCGAAGGCTCATCCTGCTGCCYCCGACCTCAAGTATGGTATCCCCAAACGTCCTCTTTAGCTTCCTCCATCCATCGATCCACACCTCTCCTTCCGAACAGTGAAGCCTAATCTCTTCACCTTCATTCGTCTGTGCCTTCAACCAGATCAGTAAAGATGCTCATTCTAGTTYCGTGAATCTAAAAGTGATCACTTTTCCCACATTCATCCCCCTCCCCATCCCTTTCCTTTCCCGCCTCCCCCTCCTACGTCTTCCCTTTGCGATCTTTTCCTTTTTACCCGGGTCCCGTGAATTCAAACTCGGGTTAAAGTCCGCTATCAGGTACCTCTCAAACTCGAAATCATCAATCTCATTCACGTGTCTCAGCTGTATGATTTGCGTACTTATCAGTACCAAACCTCCTCATCCATCGGTACAAATGTGAAGCGAGCCCCAACCCATCACTTAGTGTATTTCGACAATGTTCCCGCCCTCTCTGTATAATCGGTCTCACCGTGCAGCCTACGTATACCTTCTTAGTCCATGGGATGACTATCACGTATACCCCTCCAGTTTCTAGTTTCAGTAGACCCGTGATTGCTACCGACTTGGAAATATATTTCTCAAGCCACGGTATTTGTCCCTGCACTGTTAGTAGAAGTATTGTCGAAGTTATAGCACTCTCCACCTTTCTACTTACCTCACCGGTGATGCCCCGCTCTCTCAGCCTCACCCTCTGTTCTAGCCATCTACTCAGTACGTCCCACAGTTCTGCCTTAGTCGGTTCTCTTACGATTCAATCTAAGTCCTCCGTTGGCTGCACTGGCGCCGAGCGGATGATGGTCAACTCTTGTCTCTTGGTCGTTTTTTCCATCGTAGTCCTATCTTTCACAAACTCCTTCCTTGGAGATCCTGAAACCTTGTTCTTCGTTGTGTCCTTGGTGTTGCCTTGTGTCTCTTCAAAGTCATCGTAAGCTAGTTGTACCTGGTGTCTTGTGAGAATCTCGACGATCTCTGGTTTCTTCGTATATTTGATCCCTCTCTGTTCACAAATTTTCGTCAATGTATCCGCCTTCTTTGCCGAAAACATCTTCTGTGCTGATATGCAGTATTCAATCAGCCCCTTCTGGGAACATCCTGCCGCAAGTTCTTTGTATTCTCCGGTCAATGGAGTCTTCGGCTCGTCCCCCTCCACGGATCTCGTCAGCAAAGTCTCATCTCCTTCCACCTGTGCTTCTTTTCTCGCCTTCGAACTCTCCCCTTTCTCGTACACTCCTACTGGTGTGTATACCTCATTTACCCTTCCCTTCCCTTTGGTATTCTTAACTTTCGTCTTGCTCTTGGCGTAGCCCGTACTTCGTCTACCGTGTACCTTACTGCGAGCGTGCTTCCCATCAGATCCGGAATATGTTGATGCTTCCTCGGACATGCTGTCTTCAGTAGAGCTCGATGTGTTTGATTCTTCACTTGAGTCTATCCGCCTCTTGCTCCTTCGAGCCCTCCGTCTCTTCAGTCCGCCGTGTTCCGTTGCATACTTCTTCTTCTTTTTCTTCGCCTTCTTCACCGTTTTCCCACTCTTCTYGGTAGCCTTCTCCGCTTCCCCGTGGTTCTTTCTCCATTCTTCCAGTAGTTCCGCCCGGAGTTGTAGCTTGAACTCCTCCGCTTTCCTGGCAAAGTCCATGTTTCTCTTCGTTTCCTCTTCTTCTCTAATTCTCTTMTCTTCCTCCCTCTTCTTTTTCTCCTCCTGTTCCATTCTCTCTTTCCGAGCTATCTGAAACTTCTCCTCAATCTCTTCTAGTTCCGGGTCTCCCTGTGGTCCCCCCGGATTCCTCCCTTGTATCGACCAACAGTCACGTGCCATGTGGTCGATTTTTCCACAGTTATAATATGCATTGTTCCCTCCTCCCATCCGACCTCCTCCACCCGCATATCCGTTTGTGTTCGCATACGCCTGTCCCCCGCCAACTTGTTGTCCGCTCGCGATGCCGTGTCCTCCCCCTCCCGCTGGTCCTGTAGTCAAGTACATCGTATCTTGTCTCAGTGTAGCCGATTACGCTCCCTCCTAATCGTGTTCGCCGTGTCCCCCTCCTTGAACCAAACGGACCAGCCCGCAGCAACGTAGAATAGAATCCCCTCCGTTTTCACGTCAATCTTCCCTTTAACTAGTATTCGACAAAATCAAGCTTTCTCCCCGTCCCTACCTACTGACATCTCCCTATTCTCTCCATAWATCCACTATTTTYTGATACTGGATCCTGCGTYTTGTTCGCAAAGCTAATAGAGTCGTTTCAATTTTAATCAACAAACTYATCAGGCAATYGTATAAGCCATTTCTCAGATTTTCATCGTTCACAAAACCTATCATAAAATGCATGGGCTGGATGGTTTTTGTGATGTACTCTTCGAGCGCGTGTATCAATCTCGCTCGCACTGACATGAAACGCCTACSTCTACCACACGGACCCCSACAGCTAATACACGGAGTGTCCATACCCTCACAGCGCAGATCCTATTATAATCATCCCCAATCYGCAAAGGAATATCCCTATTCCRTATATTATTTCCCGAATCCCTCTGCTCCTCATCCCMGTAACCTTCCTACCGTCKTCTGCCTTATTTTACTAACACCTTTCCGTTCGCCGAAAACTTGCCCTCTATCGCTTTGAAATTGGTATACTCTAGGATCAGCTCCGCCGAATATACGTGTTCCTCCCCCAAACAACGTACCGTGTTCCKCGTCGTTTCCGACTCACGCCWAYGAGAATAGTGGAAGTCTTCTTTGAACACGCCTAATCACCTTCCCGTCTATGCAATGGCGTGTTTGCCRATCCGCTTGCCCGTTGAGCTACCCGTCAAACAAGTTCCTAGTGCGATATCCGGTGCAGATCCCTTTCCACCTTGTCCCGGTACTCATACCTCTCCATGAACATCTACCCGTTCTCCTTCCTCCTCCTCCCTCCCGTGAAATTCTGCTMACTTACTCTCGTCAAAACGAATATCGAACTYGGTGCGTGCTAGGAAAAGTTAMATCCCAATACCCCCGCTTCCGTGCTCCACCCAGCGTGAATCGCGTCCTCCGTGTCGTATCCGGCTTTGTGAAACACCCCCGAAGCGGCCAACGCTTTCCTTCCAATCAGTGTATTTACATCCCCTCAAGGATGTGTTTGCCAAACTGCTTTTTCGCTGTGCTCCCTGTCTACAGCACTCCTAGTGCAACCTCAGCTGACCATTACTCACCTCCTCTATTTCGGTTGTCATGTCTGATAGTCGAACATAACTTCCATGTCCATCACCTTGCGTTCTTTGGACCCGAAATCGTCTTCGCTCAGCATGCAGACTTACCACTCTCAACTTCGTAAACCGTAAAGTGATCACATTCGTCTTTAGTCACCATACAAACTTACCACTGTCACCTCGGAGCCCGTAAAGTGATCRCATGTAGACGCAGCCACCACGYAGCGCTACGAACTGGTGGTTACTACGTGCCTGAGAGTAGGCGAGCTGCGGCCACACAGCCCGTGCAGTCGGCACAAGAAGACACAAACGTTCACAAACACTCATACACGAGTTTCACAACGAAAGCGACAACTTGTTTGATTACTGCAAAAGAGCAAACATGCGGTCCCTCGACCGGTTTCGCCCGTCCGCACGGGCATCATCAGGAGGGTGACAAAAGTCTTCGTGCTCAAAAAGGGAAACCATGGCCTTGCTTCCCGTCCTTTATAGTGTTGTCCACGTAGTTTTTATCCGTTACCTCGCTGATCCTCCATCCCTGATGTTGCCAAGATCCAAAAAAGGTTACTGTCTACCTGGCAGTCAAGACTCACCACTTCTAACCGTCGTCCCTACTAATTCCCTCCATAATCTAACTTAGTTCACGTATCCATCATTATGTTTGTCAAGATACAGTCCCGTTATCACTACTATTACCGGTGCCTATGTACCCAAAAAACTTAGGTACTATTCTTGTCACCTGGAAGCCAGAAATCCGCGAAACGATATCGAAAAACAACAGTCATCTAATCTTCTCCTCCCTTTGCTCACGTTTGTCAAAAGTGGTCAAGATCCAGCCGAAAAACAGAAAACAGACTAAATAAAGTATACTAAAATACTGGGTACCCGAGCCTGCTGGTACATGGCCGCGTCCGGCACATACCCAACTTGCACTTGCTCCTTTTCAAAACTTCCTTCTGCAGGTCGTGTCGACCTTCACACCCAACTTGTACAGCCCTCTAGCCCCTCTTTTTACTTTAACCCATTCTGCTGACGTTCTCAAGGCTAACATCAGGGTACGCAGTGCCTGGGAAGGCACAACTTTGGTCAAACTGGCCAAAGCGCAGAGAGAGAGAGAGAGAGAGAGAGAGAGAGAGAGAGAGAGAGAGAGAGAGAGAGAGAGAGAGAGAGAGAGA